AGATTTAATATTATTAATAAGCTTTTTAATTTATTTTATAAAATATGATGTATCAGAAGTGATGATATAGCCTATATTTATAAACCTAGATTGATCTATTAGATCTAAGTACGCTTTAAGAAACTAAGCTAAATTAAGAATATATCAAAGATAAAACCCAGTCTCTCACGCGAACAAGCTTGTCTTGCTTCAACCACCTAACCAGAAATCTCAATCTCTAAAAAAAAAAAAAGAGACAACTTTTCTGTTAATAACTACTTTTGTTTTTGTGCATTTTAAAATTCAAACGTAGCCTTTTTGTACCTCTTTCAGAAAGTCTTGCCTAGGCTAACTTTCTGTAAATAAGAAAATAAAAGATTAATTTGGAGTTTGCTTTCTAGCTCTTTTTTGAAGATATAAATAGTGTTTGTGATGATATGTTCTCAAAGAGTACTTAAAGTGTATAAATAAGTTACCTGAGCAATTGTTTTACGCCAGCCAATCAGACAGGAGGAACCGTCGATGTTACACAACCAATCCTTCACCCGATGTGCAACATATAAAAAAATTATTTTACAATACAAGATCATTCAACACCATTTTTATTATAATAAAATGGTGTCATAACATGTGCTAACGGAATCAGTGATTATTTTTCACTATGGAGACTGTATGCAGCATACAGAATCAAAATTTTGCGCACACCTTCTTTTGAACACACAAAGATCATCCGTAAACTGTGTACACTTATTTCTGCAAGTGATACAAATACAAAAAAAGAAATATTTCTGTGTAGATCGCAATATTAGTGTAACGTGAAATCGAAGACTTTTTCAAAACATCGCCGGTAACTCGAAATTTTGCCTAAGAAACCATCTTTGATGTTCTAACAAAAAAATTCCTGGCCAAAATTTACTATACTACGCTTTTATACTAACCTTAACCCTAACCTTAACGCTGGTCAAAATTCCACGTGCTTTAGAGAAATAACAACCGAATTTTTACTCTTGGCACGTGATTTGTATCACTTGCAGAAATAAATATTTCCCTTTAGCCATACACTTCGTACTTCGTATTACGTTCCTGATATATAAGGTGTTACATATCAGTAATCGGATTTAAATGATGAATTTACTAATTCCCCCAACCACTTATGATTGGTTCACATATCGGAGTATTTGTGTTATTAATCAATTTTATAGTTCTCCGATACTGAAGTGGTGGGGGAAATTAGGGCACATTAAACGATACAGTAGTCTACAAATAGTGATACATAAAATTTTTAACTTCTTCATTTTGTGGATCTTTTTGCTTATGACAAACCTTTTTTTTTTTATTAAATAGATATCTATTCAAAAATCAAATAATACATTACACCCCATATAACAGCCATATTATTGCATGGTGTCTGATGTACAATTCCATGCCAATAAGTAATAAAAAAAGTACGGGTTGTTACATAAGACCCGCGCAATAAAAATTGATAAGTACGTACCAATTTTTATTGAACCTAGTATGCTGAAATACTAACTTAAACGAATCGGCAGAAAAATCATACGGCCAATTTTTTACAAGTGTCCAGGAATTATGAAAGCAGCTGAAAAAAACCTGTCCGGAACCGTCCGTGAGGAACACTAGTACATGATTTTTTACCGATTCTTATGCACAATTAAAATACAAACGAACAGCATTAACCGTCTTATTATAATATTTGTCATTAAATTAAATTACTATATATCTATCTAGTTCATGAATCCGATGAGTTACTGCGATACAACGAGTAAATATATAATACCACGGTAACACCGCGACACTACTTGTGTACAACCAGTCCCTTTAAAAGGTTAAGATATCTTAAGATTGCTAATTTATACGTAATATGAATTTCATAATAATTTTGTTACATTTTTTTTTATGGAATTATGCCAAAGACTTCTCAAAAGCCTCGTAAGCCCCGTAGTGCGGTCAACCGTGATTACAATCGGAAGAAAAAGACAGAATTAGAGGACCTCAGAGATAAAGTAAGAAATTATGAGCAACGCATTGCTCAACTTGTAGGCCAGGTACACCTTCTTACTCAGCAAAAATTAGATCTTGAAGAAGAAAAAAGAAGTCTCCAACGCATGTATGGTTTTGTTTCAATAGTTTATTATTCGCACTATTTTAGGTTTGATTTTTTATCTTTATGTTCTAGTATCGATATTGGTACTGGACCAACGCTTCACGGCGGCATCAGTAAGAAAAAGTTTACAATATAATTAATATTATACTTTTGTTGTAAGTGGGAACGGAATTTAAGCGGACTCAGGATTTTACGGTTATTGTATAAGTTTACAGAGAATAAATTCTATCTTAAAATTATGATTTTATTAAAAATTCCAAATCCACTTAAATTTCGCTTCTAGATTAGCATTTTAATAATTAATACCTAACTTCCACAGCTCATATATTGATGAATTTGAAACCAATTTAATTATTTAATATTCGAAAGGAAGCTTAAGATCTAATATTGCTTTTGACTATTAAATAATTAAAATACTTTTAAAGTTAATTGAGATATGAGCTGTAAAATTTAAGATCTTAATGTTTTGAAATTACGATTCTGTCTGTTTTCTATTGACAGTAGCCCATATATATATTAAAAAAGAAGTATTTCCAAGACATTATTTTTTAAAATCTATGAACATTATTTAAGGAATAGACTTGCTTTCAAAGATTACTTTTTAAAAAGTCTAGGCACCACTTACATTTTTAACATCTTTTACATATTTACTTATTTTGGAAATTTTTTTGAAAATTTAAAACCCAGATCCCAGAGCTATTATGGATTCCATACACACTCCTGTTGCTAATGAATTGTCTTTACCGATGATTCCAATGTATTCTCTTCCAGGTAGTTATGATAATTATTTATCAAGACGTTAGGCATATTCAAGAAATTTATAAATAATCTGCGACTTCGTCTAGATTTCAGTAATTCTTACAATGAACTTCAATCAGATTTTTGGGTAAATAATAGAATTCATTAATGAGCTTAAGCATGCTCTCAATAAATTAATAATTTATAGTTACTTTAAAGGTAGTCTTAGTTATCATTAAGATTCTATACAGCAAACAATTTTCAATTTTTTTATATGGCAATTATATGGTATTCCATTTGGGTCAAAAGTGCAATTTTCTTGAAAAATTTAAATATTCAAAATTTTGAAATGGTCAAAATTGAAATTTTGAAATTTTGAAAAATTTCAAAATTTCTAAATATAGTAATTTAATGGTCGTATATAAAATGTGAATTATACAAATTATATGATTTAAATTTTGTGTAGTTTAATAGAAGCTACAAACATTACAACATATGATTTTATTTTCTTATTAGTATCGCAATAATCAAAATAAATATTCAAATTTTTGACATAAATATTAAAATTGGTTATAATTTTAAGTGAAAGTAGCTTAGCAACTAATTAATCAAATTTGATATGTTTTTATTTTGACTATATAGTTATAGAATTACAATAATAGGTTTATCGAATTTGGACAAGTGTTTGCTAAATAAGATTGCTAAAGTAAAATTTTCTTAATTTTATGCCAATTATATATCATTAATATGTTTTGACATATGGTATGCTATATGGTGCACTATTTATAAAATTTTTAATTAATTTTAACTTTAAACATGAAATTTTGTTTTTTAAAATAAGTTATTTTTTACTCTTTTATTGTTATTTAGTATTAAAGTTAGTATTGCCTAATAATATGCAGATTACTCTAATAGCATGTATTAGTATTTTTGCTTAGACTAATACTAAGAGTAGTAACAAAAGTAAATATACTTATTTATTCAATAAATAAAGAATAACATATATTATTTTTATTTACTTATAAATACTTATTAATACTATATTAATATATTATAAATTATAATTAGCAGATGAGTAACTTAGTATAGTTAATAAGGGTACGTGTCATTTTACTGACAATCAATTCACCGACATCCCATTTCACCGACAATCAATTCGCTGACAGCCCATTTCACCGACAAGGTTTTTTTTAAAGTTGCACTAACATTAACTCTAATTCCAACTGACCCTAACGAAA